AATCCCCTTAGAAAGAAAAGGAAAAAGCTGTATTGAAAATCTACACAACACATGCAGCTGAATAAATGCTTGAGCTGCAAACCTGAGGACCATGGGTAGTGTATTTTGGTTCTTGCACTGGCTGCAAATTCTGGGTTTGTTCCTGTCTTCCTTTGCACAGCGTGGAGCAGCATTTCATCTTTCCGTCTACGAAGAAGCAGGTAGCTGTTTTTTTTCTCATAAACCTAACCCAGACTGTCATGACTGTAAGTGTAGTCAGTCCCTAGAGAGGAGGCTTCTTCAGCTGGCCTCTGCTGGGCTGCCAAACAAGGGAGTGTATGTTTAGCTACCTTTAATGCCGGGCTTTTTGGTTGATAACTGTCTTGGTTAATTTTGCCTCAGTGCAGTTAATGTGCAAAGCAGGAGTATAACTACAGGCTGTGGAGTTAACAAATTAGAAGCTGCAGTCAAGTTGAGAGGAATGAACAAGAATTTTGAGCCTCTGAGTGAAAGATTTTGTTGCACTGAGTTCCTAAACGGCATGGAGAGATTGCACCTCCATAATAAAACAGAATATTCAAGGTGGTGCCCAGAGAGTTGGATTCAAGATCCAACTCTTGCAGCTTGTAACCCCTTGGGGAGCGGTACTGCCAGAACTTCGCTGACTAGAAACGAGAGCCTAAGTACCCACTGTCAGTGCAGTTTACACTGCTGGCTCTGTGGGTGCACGTCTGTAGTACCCATGCTCTTGACTTACTGAAGTTACTTTAACACAACTTCTTTTTTGTACATTGAAATGATGTAAATTGAGAGCACCCTTATCTTGGAGTAAGCACGCGGCATACATTTCAGATCGTATTTATAGGGAGATGCTTTCTTTCTGAGGCTCACCTGCCTTGTTTTTTTGCAACCTTCTGTGTCCTACCCTGATTTCTAGTCTCTGTGCTAATGATTCGCCAAATGTCTTTCCTTGATTCTTGTCTTACTGGTTTTCAAAAAACATAGAATCTACTCCAGCCTTCTGGAAGCCCTTGGAAAGGGATGGATGGTTTAAATTGGGGTATTTGAGTGTATTTATAGTCATATATAAATGGAGGCAAGAGGAGTACTTACAGAGCAGGTGGTACTGGGACATTTATAGAAAAATGTGTGATTTATACATGGACTATTCCAGGCAAACCTTTTGCTTTGCCTGTAGCCTGTCTTCTACAGAGCTCTTCTGTGTGCTATGAATATTTATGCTGCTTTGTTGTGGTATTTTAAACTTGCTTTCAGCTTATGAAATGACTGTTTGTTTCTTTAAATAACAGGAGGAGTGGAGGGAAAGAATTGTTTCCTGGGTAGACATGTCTGCAGATCTCTTACAAGGAGTCTTTAATGTGGTTGGAGCAGAGGATACCCCAGCCCAGCATAACCCCACCCTTCCCTTTGCCTCTGCATTTGGAGATGTGCTTTACCAGCTCTCACTGCTACAAAGCGTTCTCTTTTGAGAAATTTTTGTGGCCTTTTTTGGACAAATGTGCCCCTTTGCCATGTTTCAAACCAAAAGCGATGTTGCTGTTAGCTTTGCAGGGTAGTCAGGTGAAGTTGTGGTGAATAATCACATACAGTGAGTCAGATCTCATACTGTAATAACAAGTTACCCAGATTTGGTCCAGGGCAGTCACATTCAGCTTGCTAAGACCTTGGGAAGAGAAGAGTGCTTGCATCTGCCTGCAGAATATCCTCTGAACAGATTGAAATGAAGTCCTGAGGCTGTGACAGCCGTTTTCTGGAGAGTTCATGAGTGAGTGGATTGGGAAAGGCTGGTTCAGCAATCTAAAAAAAGCTGCTTGCAAGCAGTGATGGGGACCTCCTGTACCTTTAGCTTCAAAAAAATCTTCAAAGAGCTTTGAGTTTCTAGGAAAGCAGAAAAAACTCAGATTTGCTGGATAAGCAGATCAAAAGGTTTGGAAAAGAAATCCACCATCTGGCCATTTGTGGCTGTGCAGGTGTAACCTTTCTGTTGGTTTTGCTCTCAGTTCAGCAATTTTCGGTGGCTTCCTGGCTCACCATGGCATTTGGTTCCCTCTGGCCCCTTTGGAGGTCCTGCTCTTCCTCCTGCAGCCTGGGTGAGAGCCTGCTCCCAGCCAAAGAGCACAAACCCAGGCTGCCTCTGCTGGAGATTCGTTGCAGAGCATGTCTCTTGGTCTTCCCACATGCTCCCCTACACAAGTTTTCCCAGCTACGTGAGCCTAGTCGGTGTTAAGGAAGGTGGTCTTTTCTCTCTCAAGGAAGTTTCACCTAATCCTGAGCCTGGCAAAACAGCAGCCTTTCTTGCTGCTGCCCAGCTTGCTTTAACAAAGGAGCAACACGCAGTGCAGGTATAACGTAGCAGTTTGTTACTTTAGCCCCTAGAGACCCCTCTTCCCCTGAAACAGTACTTAGAGTAATAGTGGACCAGGAAGATAAGCATCATATTAATTTCAGAGTGATGTTGTTTATTGTGTGCACTCTAGTTGCATCTAGAGACCAAGTATGAAATCAAGGTTGATGAGATAAAAGCATTTGATAATCCTTGCTTTGAACACCTACTTAGTTTTTTATTATTCTCATGCAACAAATGATTAACAAAGTAGTGCATGGGATTTACAAAATGTATCTGTCTCACCCTATCTAGACTTTAAACACTTCATGGACTGGCATGCTTGTATCAGCAGCAACCGATGTCCCGGAGCAGGTTTATGCAGCATGCATCCCAGGTCTCTGGGAGTTGCTGCTCTTTGTATAGCTCAGGGGAAACTAGGATTAATATCTGCAAAGCTTTAGCGAAAATATCTTTGAGCAATCTAACGCAGAGCAGTTGGTGCTCTGAGTTGTTTTTTGGTCAGTCAGAGCTCGATAGACAGTGATTATTAGATGCCCTGCTTCACTGTAGACTCTAGTTTAGGAAAAAATGGTAGATATGAGCCTAAGATTCATGAACCACAAAAGAAGTGTAACTTACCACTTTCTTGTATATAAAAATCCACAGAGAAAGATGGCTGGTGTGTGCACAGTTTTTTAATCCCTTTGGGTAGAGTGGACAACTTCTTGGTCTCTTGGGTGACCCCAAGAATAAGCATCACCTCCCTGCCTGCTGTCAGGTCCAGTGGGTGTCTTTTCAAAGGAGCGTCAGAGAGGGATAAGCTCTCCAGATAATAAGGTAGTTGTTCTAGTACTGTGTCACCTGCTATAGATAAGCTTTGTGAGGCTTGTTTGAAACTCCTTTGGTGTCTGTAACCTCGTGGGATGCTGTTTTGGAGAGAATCTGGTAGATATTGAGCTCTTAATCAGTCCTAGTAGATACAGAAGTTGTAATTCCTTAGTAGAAAATATCTTTTGGTCTCCATAACGCCTTATCAGAATGACAATAACGAGCTCTTCCTCCGAGGCTTACAGTGCTTTATACAATGACTCTTACTGCTCTTCTGAATAAAAATTCATTGTGGGGTAAGGGGGATGTTACCTGTAAATTAATTGGTTTCTTGGAACTCTCACAACTGACACGTTTTACAGAAAACAAAAAAACTGAAAAAGAAGAATAATTGCAAGTTTCCCAAAGCAAAGGAGCTAAAAGAAAGGGGAGTTGCTATGGCTGATTTTCACAAAGTAAAGGCATTATGATTTGTTTTGTGCCAGACTGGCTTCATCCACGCCAGTGATAGTGCTGGCACAAAGGGAGATGACAAGAATGCACAGCTTTGCACAGCGTTTGGAATGAGGAGAACCTCTCCTTCCCGGGGCAGTGCATGCTTGTGTGGAATTAAGGTGGCTGGAGAAGCACAGTTGCAGTATTCTTTTTCTACTTTTTTTCTTCTGTGGTTAGCAGCAATATATTATCTTGGACAAAAAAATTGATTTGTGACAGTATTTGAGAGTCTTTTTCTAGCAAACTCAGCTAACGCCCAGGAAGCCCACCACATGCCTATTCTTGTCCCTACTTATGTCCATGACTTCTTTTATTTCATCTGCAGTAATATGTATAGTTTCCTGAACAACAAAATCTTCACCATCAAGCACGATCATCTCCTGTTCCCAGACCCCTCTTCATATTGCTCCGACTGCCTGCTCGAAAAATTCTGTCTAGAAAGAGGTGGAGCCTCTAGAATAAAAATTAAATCCCTGGTAAATTCTGCCGTATTTTTCCTCCATCCTCATTGCTATATTTATACTAGAAGATTTCTTCTCTGACTCTGTGACAGCAGTGATTTCCTATATGGCAACCTGACATATTATTGATTGTATTTTTTTTTCTTTCCTTTGATGACTCTGCACCACCTGATGGAGCATGATTGATCGGGTTCCACAGTTGACAGTGTTACCTTGCACATGTTCAACTGGACCAGGACTATCTGGGGGCCATTTTTAGATCCCACCTCATAAAACAAGGGCTGCCCTGGGTTCTGGGCTCTCTTACGTTCTGCCAACAAGGTACTTGGATCTCCACACCTCTGTCTCCCATGTGCAAGTGCAGTATTGGCTGCATGTCTTGTGGGCTACAGGCACAGCCCTGTCTTTAGTGGCTGGATGCTGTGGTTAAGGTGTGTCCGGCCATGGCAGTGAGATGTCAGTATTCCTGCATATTAAACGCGGTTTTTCACCCTGCTGATCCAGTCATTTCCAGTTCATTTCCAGGCAGACTATGGCTGAAGTACCAGGAATGCACAGCAGTGGATCCAGGCTTTTTCAGTAGAAAGGCCTGAGCTTTCCTGGACAGTTTTCAATGGGCAAGGCAATGTGCAGGGTAAGGAGTAACATAACTGATGCACTCGGTGCAAGCATGGCTGTTTGTCTTCTATGGTTACAGGTGCTTTGTGTTGCATCGAGAACCAGCTTCTTTCAGACTTTCAGGCTTCAGTTTGAGCATATACAAGTCTAATGAAAGATCTTAAAGCTTTCTTTGGCTAGCATCTCTTGTAGTACTGTTTCTAACAATATGCCTTTGTTTCAGAATCACCCATTTGCTGCTTTGAGGATTAATTGGCTCCACTGACAGCACCATGGACGAACTGCAGGATGTTCAGTTGACAGAGATCAAACCACTCCTGAATGATAAGGTAATGCTAGCTGCTCCTTTGATCTCCCAGGTGTACTCTGGCTGACTTTGTGTGGCACGAACCCTGATTGCCAGAATCTGTTTACAGCTTGAAGTACCTTGAGTACTGAAAAACAGTAAATGCTTCCCAACTCTGATAATCCACCACCACATACTCTTCTAAAGTCTCAGGGAAAGACAGACCACCACAGTTCAGGTAAGTTTGGAGTCCTGACCAAACAGTATGTCATACCTGTACTGAGGATTTGCAAAGGGAGGGCAGAAATAGGAAAGATGATACCGTTCCTGACCTGGTGGAGCTGTAGAACCTCTAATAAGTTCCTGCTTGTTAGAGAAACCTTGGATTGTATCCCATTTTCTTTTTTTTTAATATTTATTTGTTTAAAATCTTTTGTCTTAAATTATCATTTTGTGTTTTGACCCACAAAACAACCCTGCCTCCCTGAATTTAGCAATGGAGAGCCATTTCCTTTTAATATCTGCAGAGCCTAGCTAGAACGGTCCACATTCATGCAATAGTGAAACTTTGGAAAATCGTCGTATTGCAGCAGCTGTTTAAAGCTTTCGCTCTGTCTTCTGTGGGCTGGAGGAGAGCCATTTGGGCTTTAGGAAAGGCCTAGCCTTGCTGGATTCTGTCACAAACTGTTGCTCTGAGTGCTAAGTCATTATGGCCCATCCCAACAAGATCTAGAATCTTGCATCTGCAAATTGTGATTATGAGCAGTGTGGTTTGGTCACTTCCCATACCTTGCAGTCAAATTTGATGGTATGTGAAGCAGTTCCCAATGCTTTGCTGTTTAATGGCTGACATCAAGAGGTAGGTTGTGCTGCCAAAGGGATAGGGTACTTTGTCCACTCACTGTGTGCTTGCAGAAGACTGTGCTGTCTAGTGCAGGCTCCCACCCAAAACGGGTGAAACCCTTGAAATTCTGCTATGTTTTAGTCTATGCTGCTTAGTTCTTGCTCATTTCTTCAGTGTGCTAGCGTATCTGTTTAGTATCTGTGAAAGCTAAAAATTCAGCTGAAATCTGCAGTCCAGCTGCCTGTTCTTACAGTCTAGTGCTGACTACTAGGCTTCCACCGTAACGCAAACATAATTTTTTAAAATGTTTTCAGGTAGGGTGAGTCTTGGAAGAACAAAATCGGATAAAATCAGATAAAAATACAGAAAGACCTTGAAAACAGTTTATCATTTCAAAATGATAAACCATTAGGAAGACAAGTTTCTTAAAAGCAGTGCCCCAGCTCTTGCTCATGGTTCTCCTAGGATTTTCCACATTTGAGTTCAAGAAGGTAGATTTCCTTTGCTTCAGTGAGCTCACCTAAGCATGAGGTATTGAAGCATGCCAAAACAAAGTATTTTTCACTTTAAGTTTTCAATCTCTCTGTCAAGTATTGACTATTCAGTCCCATCAGGTCCTTGCCATGGTGTCATCTGCACAGCCACTTCTCTTGTCTAATAGCTGGGACAGTTCTGATTTGAATGCAGAGTGCTCACTTAAACAGCCCAGTGGTGTTAACCAGCATACAGAAGGGCACATACGAAGTGATATTTGGTTTCCTTGACTCAGCTGTGAAGCTACAGGAAGTATATACTATCTGAGTAGGAAAAAATATGTAGAGTGGCTCCAGAACCATCCTCAGCACTGCATGCGAAGAGAAGTGTACTGTGACTCTCCTTTTTACACTTTGTTTTAGCAAAAGAAATGCCTCACGGAGATACCATCTCTGAGGTCTGGCCCTTATTAATGCTTTCAAGCTTGAAATAATACACATGTGCTTTTTAGACATAGTTTATGCCATAATGTGCTGATGCCATAACGTATTGTTCTGTGCAGAGTATCAGAGTCCAAAAAGTATTGAGCTGGTGTTTCACTAAGATTTTTACTGTCCAACCCACTTTAGATGTAGGAGTCTGAGCCAGCATGGATTAATGGCCAGAAATAGTACAGTAAAACTCTTAAGGTGCTAACTGGTGAGTGCTCATGAACTCTTCAGATACAAAGGCTGCTGAACAGAGAAAAGGAGCTCTGGTGTCTTAAACTCTAAAACTGGTGGAATTGCCTGGGAAATGGGTCATACCTTGTTCACTTGTCGGAACTGTAGGAATTGCCACTGAGACCACTGAGTCCTGGCTTTGTTTTGTCTCAAGTCAAAGTCAGGAAAAAATTACAAGCCTGACTTTTAAAGGATACAAACACTCTTATGTTTGTGTGTAACTTAAGCCTAATAGCAAGTGCAGGGAAGTAAAAGAGTATATATATTGACCTCATTCAGGCTCACTAAAATTCAGTGACTTTATACTGGGAAAGAAAATCAACTTCAAATGTTCCTATTTAGTTGAAAGAGGGAGAAAAAGAGTGTGCTGCCTGTAACCTGATCAGAAAACTTATCCCAGTGAGACTTTATTATTCTGTCTGGTCCATATTCGGGCACTTTTGAGTCCTATTAATATGGCCTCAGTGAAAAGTTACTGAAATGCAACAGCTTAGTTCAGGAGATTGAATGGACAGCCCTTAGGCTGGATTGGGTCATTCCAGCTAGCTCTTTGTCTTTGAGGTGCAGCCATCTCACCTTCAGAGGCCTGAAAATTTTGCCTTAATCTTAAACTTTCTCAAGTTCAGCCAATGAATAGATTAATGGTTTAAAGTCAGATTTCGGTGTGTTAAAATTGAGTATCCAGGAGTCAGGACATGTCAGCACTAATGCTACTTGTGCGTCATGGTATACCCTGACAACATGCGACACAGTTGCAGACCTTCATTCTTTGCTTTGTGTCATTTCTTCCCCACTCCGTGCTCGGGGAATCGTGCACCACTTCTCAGTACAAGTTCAGATCAGCCTTTTCTTTACTTAGCATGCACCAAGTCCACTGCTGGATACAGAAGTTTCTAATTTCTTCATAGGCTTTGATATAGTCCTTAGTCACTGGCACTGGATGACTGAATTGACCTTCTTTATCACCTGGTAGATGAGAAGAGTCTACTGTCTGCATGGAAAGAGGCATAGACAGAGTTGTCAGAAATATCAGCTAACTTCAGGACCTCAAAATGAAATAAGAGGGTGCTGCTTTTTATTTTCTTTTCCCCCTTCCTGAGTATTTGGTGCATTGTGTCATGTCACATTCAAAACATTGGCACAGTTCAGTACTTAACACTGGGGGGACTCTTAAAACAGATTTGCCGATATCTCAACTTTAACATCTCAGACTGAAGAACGTAGGTAGCAACCTGTGTTCTTGCTAATGTGGCAAAGCTTTGCGGGTAGGAAAACAGGGCCATTTGTTTACACATGAAGAGGAGTTAGGGTGCTCAGCCAGAAGAAACATTTAGGGTGTTTCTGTTGTGCGTATGTGGTCCTAGTTGTAATTTTAGTACTAAGGCGCTATGCCTGAAACATATAAGCTAGAATGCTGTCTCAAATGTTTTGCTAAGCCTTCGGCAGCATTTGACAGCACTCAGTAACATAATCCACTGTGTGGTCAGAGTCTTATGAAGCACGTGGGCATACAGACAGGTTACCGCAGACCTTCAAACTTGCAGTACGCCAAACATGTACTGTACTCACTGTGCTCGCCTGTATGCGTGGTGTTACCCTCTGGGAAAAGTCAGTTGTGAATTGCTGAGCCCATTTCCCACATGCTCTGGTTTCAGTAGCTTACAGGTCACTGCGTTTGCTGTGGAAGGATACCATGCACACAGCAGTTACTGCAGAGTAGCTGACTGCATAGCTTGTTTTCTTGCGCTCACTACATGAGATCCTAGTGGTAGTCCGTTCAAGAGTTTTGCATTCAAATTGGTAATGGGCACCAGGAGCAGACAAAACCCAACCTCCTAACCAGCCTGACTTTGGTCAGAGTCCTTCCTAGGTGCATCTGTCCATGCTCAAATGCTCTCAACTCTCAGCTGTGCCCACAGATGCTCTCCTTAGTGGACAGCCTTGGGACAGCCCCCAGCAACCTTGCTGTATAGTAATGGGCAGAACTTGCATGGAGTGTTCTTGTACAGGTCTCACATTTCACTGCTGTCCCAACTGCAGTCAGGCTAGACTGTGCTGAAGCAGGGGTCTCTGAGGGGAATTTTCATGATGATGTTGGGGGTATTCTGGGGTACTGTGCTGAACTCTTTTTTTTTTTTTTTTTCTTTTCTTTTTCTGGTTTTTGTTAACAGAATGCGGCTCGCAGCTTCCAGGACTTCGACTGTCAGGTAAGACACGTGCAGGAGACAAGGATCTGTGCGCAGACTCCCCATGGCCCATCAGTAATGCTGAGAGATAGATGAAAAAGCTCTGTATCTTAATAATTCCTGTTCAAGTTTAATCAGTAAGAACTTAAATATGTCCAGCTGGCAGAAATTGCCCTTCACCCTTTCATGCAGAGCACGTTCTGTGCTCTGAGGTGCAGACCTGGACTGCTCTGCCAAGGCTCCACGCCATCTCGCAGGATGGCTGGTCTCCTGAAAAGCAGTTTCTTGGAAACATGCAATATGCTGAAGAGCTGCAGCTCTGTCACATCCCATCTGGTTCACTGGCTAGGAAAGGAGGAGCTTGCATGCTCTGTCTATTTGTGTTGAGAGGAGATGGAAGTCTGCCCCAGATACAGCACCCCTGCTTTGCTGGGCCTGGGTCACGACAAAGCTGTGGTGTTCCGGGAGGTCATTCACCTGACAGAGCAGCGGGGAGATGAGCCTGATCGTTCTGGTTGCTACAGGAATAATCCTTCTAGAGGAGCGGTTGCACCACAAGCATCCAAGACAGAGGACACATTCTTTGTTAGGCGAAGCACAGCGCTGAGATGACGTGGTGCATTTTGTAGAGCGCAGACTCATTTACCATGCCAGATTACCTCGCTGACTTCCCACTCAGCGTGTTGATAGGCAGCCAGTGGCTTTTCTTTCTCTTCAGCTGTAGGAGGCTGCTGTGTCTGTAGTGTTCTGCTTAGCACAGGACAAGCTCTCACTGCTGTATTACACCGGTGATGCGGCTAGGGGGTAGAGCTGTCAACATCACGTGATAGCTTTTAATAAGTCTGTTGATGTAGATGATTCCAGAAAACCTTCTGCAAGCCTATGCAGAACAAGAATATAATAAATGCAGTCCTAAGAAGATAGTTTGTATTTTTTCAGTCTCTTGATGTCAGATGCTGAAAGTACACCCCATCTGGGTGGGCACATGTCACTGTACTGCTTTAGCTTGATTCGTTGTGAGTTTTCGTTTTACCTTAAAGCCTGTAAGTATAAAAATTACTAATCTTAGCATGTTGTAACTTTAGTGTCTAGTCTTGGAAGCGGCAACAGTGTTAGGCAATGATTTTTCTGTTTTAATAAAGGTAGATAATGGGTTTAAAACACTTCCCTGTACTGTCTTGTCTCTGTCTGTCTTTCTGCATCTTCTCCATCTCTTCTAGAGGTCCAGTGTGCTCCCATGGCAGATGGGTAATGGGTAAAAATAGGTGCAATGCTTTTGAGTAAGAGCGTTAGGGAGTACAGGCACTGCCTATTGGGGCCTGTCTGCCATGACTGGAAAGAATATAAATACAGTGCCTGAGCATCTGAGCGTATTAGCCTTCGCTACAAATTCTCGAATGACCCAACAAAGCTCTGGGCTTGCCTGTGCCCTGCCTGTCTGTGAGCAGTACAGTCTTGGGAGCCGGAGCAGAGTGGGAAGGTAAGGAGGAGTCCCTGTAATAGAGCTATGCATTGCTGCTGCCTTTTCACGCTACGCTTTCCCTCAACAAGCAAAGCCTCTTTGTGCCTTTCTTTAAAAAAATCCCCAAATCTGAAGCTGTGCGAGCCCCAGAGAAACACAGTGCTGCAACCACCAACTCACGTGCGCTCAGGATGTCCCGGTGCCGTTGTCTGCCCCGGGGCTGAACTGCAGAAATAGCTGCCGAGAGAGCGGCCCTGCAGCCATGGAGAGGGGCTCTTGGGAGCTCTGGGCTGGGGAAGGACGTGCTTGTTGCTTCTCTGTGCTTTGGTTTAGATCAGCAGTGAGCTGGTGGCCATGGCAACAGCAGGGCAGGAGACAAGATGTTCCTTCCGGGAGCCCTCTTGGTAATTCATTTAGAATATTTTTTTAGCAAGAAGTTAACACAGTGTCTCTTGTGACTGTAAATGTTGTCCAAGCCTCACCTTCCTCCACTGTCTCTCAGGTGTGGTTTCAGGGCACACCTGGCTTGGCCCCCCCACCGTCCTACATGGAAAGTACCCCCAAGGGCTGGATTAAGTCTCTGAAATCTGTCCACGAGGATGGATGGTGTGTTGGGCCCTTGGATTTTCTGCCTCAGTTGCTAATACCAGGAACAGTACTTAACCTTGGAGGTTGAGCTCTTGTGTTGTCCTGTGAAAAATTACTGCTGCTTTTTAGTCTAGCAAAGCACATCCGGCTGCCACATTCGGGCCTCTGCAAAATTGGTGTGACTTTACTTACTGGTGTTTGAGAAGGGGGAACTCAAAGTGAGTAAGTTTGTTAGGGCTTTCAGAGGAAGGGAGATCCTGTTGTGTACAGAGAGGATTAAAAGCACTTAGGCTGAGGCAGGCATTTAATTTGTCCAGAGTTTCGCAGGGGAGAAGAGCCTTGGGGAGGATCTCAGTTTTACAAGCACAGCCACAAACTGGTCACAAATTCATGAAGACTGATAACTGGAAGACGGTTGCCAGTTACAGTGTGGTGGAGTGATGCTAGACCTACGTTTCAGACCTTTTTATTTTTCTGATAGTCCAAAAAAAGGTGTTTTAAATGGAGATAAAGCTGTGGCTCTGCATGGGGCTGACCACATCCTGGGCTGTGCTTGCAGGGCTGCAGCCAGCAGCAGGGCGAGGGAAGGGGGTGCCCTCTGTCAGCACTGGGGGAAACATTGTTGACAGTGCAGGTCCAGTTTGAGCTCCCCGGTACAAGACATTGACATACTGGAGTGAGTCCTGTATTATTTCAGCCTGTGTTATTCTGTGCCCTTGCCCATGAGGTGACTTGCTGTAAGTCCATCCCAGCTCCTTCCAGGACTGACATACCCCTGCAGAGCTCTGCCTTGGATACAGTCAGAGCAGTAACACAGCTGGCCTCAGCGTTTGTTCATCCTGTGGTACCTCTAGACCTCCTTCTGGCTGGAAGCTGGAGTTTCAAAATATTTTCTGCAGTTGATCCTTGCTTATGACTGGGAGAAGTGTTTAGTTTAGTCCCAGCTCATGAGCATGTCATCAGCACTGTCACTGACTCTGTGAGTTCTGTAGTTCCAGGCACACGAGTTAGGCACACTGTTTTCTGTAAAGCTTTGTGATGTGTTACTTTTCAAGATAACATGTATATTTAAGGTTTGTAAGATCTTCTTTCCTTTGGGGAAAATGGGTGATGCTGTGGGAATTTCTATTAATTACCCAGTGTGCTTATTTTTAGTTTTGAATAACTTGCCAGGAACAGATCTAGGCAAAGCCAACAGAGCAAGGATCTTCTTGCTTCTGAAATTTGTTACTCTGGGTTAATGTGGTGTGAAGAAGCTTTTAGCTTTTCTGATACAGCTGACTTTCAGATAAAGGTGCCCTGGTTTTCTTAAACTGTTCATCTACAAGCAACCGCAGCTAACCCTGACAAATAACAGATTGCCTGGGCATCAGTTGAAACAACCCCCACGTAATCTGATAACATTTGCAATGGAGATAAAACACAGAGCTAGCATGGTGGCTTAGGGGTCTTTATCAATATGAATCTAGGTTATTCTCAGAAATAAAATGTATTAACCTAAATCTGAGACCTATATTTTACTTGAAAGCTGTATGAACCCTAATGAAATCTGGGCTTGGCTTCTACTAATGTTCATGGGCAGATGGTGGATTACATGGTCTGGGTTCCTGATGGACAGATGGTGTGGTGACCTACACAGTTAATAGAGCTGTGTTTGTGCTTTTATTATTATTTGCAGACCCTCTTCAGCTGCTTCGAGAAGTAGGTGTTCTGTGTTAGCCTAAATCTCTCCCCTTTTCCCAGGTGATTCTCTTTAAATACCAATGAAGGAATATGCTGATATATTTGTAAAAGCTATCCAAATAACTCTGTGTTATGTTTCAGCCTGACATAAGCTAGCATTTGATCTGATCTAAAGCTAGTACATCCCCTCTGCTGCCTCCCACCCACGTGAAGGGAGAGAAGTGTTTTGCTCTCCAGCACGCACCATGCAGAAGAGGACCTGGGGTGTGGAGATGGGTTTGGGATTTGGCAGAGTATTTGCAGAAAGCTCACAAGGTATGGAAGAGGTGGGAATAAGTAAGTCCAGGACATGCAGAGTTCAGCTGAAACAGAAAAAAACAAGACAGGCATAAACCCATGGAGGAAAGAAAAAGCTTCCCTGTACAGTAACTTGCTATGCATTGCTGGAATTAATTGAAAATGTAGAGTTACTCAGTGTTGCCTGTGCTCAGAGTAAAACACAGCAAACTGTTTGAAGAGTTAAAGACAGACCTCAGTGAGGAATTTTTTGCCACTTTTTCACTGAAAGTATAACTTTTCAATAAGCCCATGTTTTTACTGATTCAGTTTTGGAGTTCTTCCACAAGTACATTTGTTTGAAGCTTTTTAACCTGCATTTTTAACAGTTTGCTTATCCTTGCCCGATCTCTTTGTTTTATTTTTGCCTGCTGTGCAGAAGGACATGGTATTCTGCTATTGAGAGGTTATTGAAACATCCCATCATGTGCATTTGTGGATATCACAGGCATTGAATCGAAACTGTGTAATCGAAACTGTGTTCATTTTTCAATGAAATCATTAAAGCCAGCTTGTGATTGCTACACAGTGGCATTGAATACAAGATGCTTTAAAGCATCTTCTGTTTATTGTAATGAAATAACATGAAATGTTAGCACTTTGAGGAAGGGTTTGTTTTCTCTGTATTAATAACAAGGAAGCTGTCCTCACCAGCACTGAAACGTTTTGTCTAGGATATTGAGGACCATTGTTCTTCTGATTTGTACAATGAGTTCTTTTGTTCAAAGTGCTAGAGTGAAATTAATTACAACACAGAAGATGTTTTGATCTAGAAAGCAAGTGGGTTTTTTTAATGCCTGCTGAATTAGGAGCTGCCCCTAATCTTATTAAAAGTAGTGTCACCACTGAAGTACTGGTTTTGACTTCTGCTGACATCACAGCAGCAAGTACTGTAAAGCTAAAAATGATTAAAATGGAATTTTATTTTGGAAATTTTTTTTCATTGTACTTA